GACCGCTGCTCTATATGATGTATAAGTCAAGGATGGTAGTTCTAGTTTTATTATTGAATTAAAAGTTACAAGACCTAGAACTGATCCATGCTCTTCGATCTTTGTGTACTCTGTGGTGATTTCAATATTGATTTGCTGGACCGGATGGATGTATACTGTGATGGGTTTCTAAAAATGATTGGGAGTTTTAAAATGGTATTAACTATTGATCAGCTAACGAGAATCACAGCCACTAAAAGTAGTTTAATTGATGTAATTTTTTGTAATCATTGTGATCTTATCACTGAAGCAAGAGTTGTTCCTGTACACAATGTAAGTAAGCGATCATGAATTTATTTATATTCTGTAACTTTAACAGTCGAGTCAGTGACTTTGCCTAGGTATATTAGGTCTTTGAAATATTTTGATCAAGTTCTCTTTTTAAACTTCATCCAGTCACTGCCTTTTGATGATATACAGGGTGGTTCAGTTTTTAATCGGGAAACTTTACTAGGATGTAGTACTCACCAAAATAATAAAAGTTTTATACAGTGTGTCCCAGGATACATGTTACAAGAGGTATAGTGACTTAAAAATTTTTGAATTTTATTTTAAGGCTGAGTAATTAAGCCCTGCTTGGTGTGGAGAGAATTTTAAGTATANAATTTCTCATTTTGAACAACTTTTCTTAATAAAATTTTTCAGTATCATGAACAAAAAGATTACTTTACCTAAACTAAAAGTAGTTTTCGATTCATTGTCAAGGCCGCCTTTGTTTTTAAAATATGATAATATTCTTAAAATTCTCCTCACACCAAGCAGGGCTTAATTCCTTAGCCTTAAAATAAATTTCAAAATTTTTTAAGTCATTATACCTCTTGTAACATCTATCCTGGGATACACTGTATATAGCAAAATCAACTTTTATGATTTTTGCAAATAAAACACCTGACATGGAAATAATGTTTGGAGGACAATTACTCACCTATCAACAGGAGGTGACGTTCCTGGGTTTAAAGATGGACTGCCGCCTTTCCTGGAGTCAACACATTGATGGGTTGACAACTAGTTTATCCAGAACATGTTTTGCGCTTCGAACAGTGTCACGATGTGTAGGTGAGAGAGTCGCTTTAAGTGTTTATTATGCGTGTGTTGAATCGCGTTTGAGATATGGAGTTATTTTCTGGGGAAATGCAGTAACTTCGGAACGTGTTTTCATCCTTCAGAAGAAATGTGTACGAGCGGTTTTCTGTCTAGGTCCGCGTGACTCATGTAGAGCTCTTTTCGCAGAACAAAATATTCTCACGTTCCCATGTTTGTTTATTCTAGATCTAGAATGTGCACTTTTTGTTATAACTAATTACCATGAATTTTTCTCAAAATATGAATTATCTCATCAACATCAAACGAGAGGCACTGAACGATTATTTTTACTACCACCGAAGACTAATTATTCTAAAATACAGAAAACTGTTTTATATTTTTGTATAAAACTGCACAATTACTTACCGTTTGATTGGAAAGCGCTACCATCACATGTATTTAAAAAAAGATTGAAAGAATTCTTAATCGCGAAAGCTTTTTACAGGGTAGATGATTTTTTTCTCGAAAATATTTCAACTCACTAAGAAATATGTTTATTAACATCTTTTATTTTTATTTTGTACTAGATTTTTTGTATTTGAATTTGTAAATTTATTGGTATTATAATTAATTAATTAATGTTATTTACTTAATTGTAAAGGTTTTTTGTTTTTTGACTGTTTTCTATGCATGTAAGCATTATAGAAATAAATGGATTTATTATTATTATTATAAACATAGCGTCGCAACTCTTTTGTTTTCGAGCTATGAGCGATCAAAGTTGAGCCAAAAATTTACATTTTGTTTTGTATTTCAGCTGTAAGTAAACCGAAACTTTATACGTATTTAGGTATTAACCAGTAGTACATACATACAAAATTTCAAATTCTACGGTTTACTTATACCCGAAATAAAAGCATTTTTGGCTCAACTTTGACAGGTCATAGCTCGGAAACAAAAAAGTTGCGACCCTATGTTTATATAAAAAAACTTGTGTTATTTTGGCAACTACTACGTCCTAGTAACGTTTCCCGATTAAGAACTGAACCACTCTGCATATCATCATTGACGACAAGGTAAACTTGCTAAATCATTTGTTGATCTCAGTTATTGACATATATGCCCCCCGTGTGAGAGTAACTTCTACCAAGGATCCCTGTCTGTGGCTTATTGACAATGTTAGATTGATGCAAGACTTAAGAGATGAGGCCCTGTCAAAATTTAAAAAAACAAAAACTCAGTCTGACCTGCACCTACCATAAAGAATTAAGAAATCTTGTAAATACCGCACCTTTTTCATATTTAAGTCTGAAAAACGTGCATATACAGAATAGAATATACAATAGCGTCTTTTACACCAAGAGTTTTTTCGACAGTTTTGGAGCGTACAATCCATAGCGCGCGTACCAAAACTGCCCTTGTAAGTAAACATGCCGATTTTAGACATGCATCGCGCGCGTTCGCGGCTCACGTGGTTGGAACGCAGGTTAGAACCTGCACAGCGTTTATACTTGTTCACTTCACAGAAGAGTTTAGGTTCGAACGCGCCAAGATTTACATTTTGAAGGAATACAAAACTTAACCCTACAGAGAATACGTGATTTAAATGTCATTAATTTTAATCATCTGCATTATTTTCTTTATGTTCCGTCAAAAGAGACAAATGTCCATATTTCTCTTTATGCTGACGCCATTTTTTCACCCATATTCTTCTAGGTTTCTTTTGCGAAGTCACAAATACATAAAGTGCAATAATACTAACTGAACGATTATACCACTTTTTTCTTCTTGAGTACATGATAAAGTTTGGAATAATTTTTAAAAACAATAATTGTAACTGAAATGTTTTCGCAAAGGTGACTACGCTCCTACGTACGATGTAACTTTGCTAATAGCGCCTTTTACACCAAGAGTTTTTTCGACAGTTTTGGAGCGCACACAAGCGTGCAAGTTGGACCGCACTCTTGGAGCGTTCGCTCACGGCATGTGACCAACAAAGGTAACGACGTGCCAAACCTGCATTCCGAACACTCGGTTTTGACGCGTACAACTCATAAGTGTGCATATAAATGCAAAAATATGACATTTTACTGACTTTTGGAGTAAAGCGTAGAATTTCTGCCAAGTTGAAATTTTTGAAGACACTGCTATACTTTGTTTAATCACCTTTGCGAAAACATTTCAGTTACAATAGTTGTTTTTATAAATTATTCCAAACTTTATCATGTTCTCAAGAAAAAAGTGTTATGTGACTTATGTGTTTTGCTGTAACATTTAAATCACGTATTCTCTGTAGGGTGTTAAGTTTTGTGTTCCTTCAAAATGTAAATCTAGGTGCGTTCGAACCTAAACTCTTCTGTGAAGTAAACAAGTATAAACGCTGTGCAGGTTCTAACCTGCGTTCCAACCACGTGAGCCGCGAACGCGCGCGGGGCACGTCTAAGATCGGCATGTTTACAAGGGCAGTTTTGGTACGCGCGTTATGGACTGTACGCTCTAAAACTGTCCAAAAAACTCTTGGTGTAAAAGACGCTAATGTAAGGTTCATTCCCTTCCACAACACTTAAAAAGCGGCGACGAACTAAATAATTTCTTCTTGGAAGCTTAATGCTATGGCCACTGTAGGGTTGATAATTTGATCAATGACTTTGGTAAGGCAAAGTTTGGCCCAGATGTTTTCTCATTTAGGTTGGTGTCTGAGAGTGATATTTTAACTGAATTACATAATATAAGATCAAATGCTGTGGGTGCTGATGGTATTACTATTCAATTTATAAAAATAGCTTGTTGTAATTTGTACCTTTTTTATGCACATTTTTCCTTTTTTTTATTTGTATGTAAATTAGTTTTTCTATTTGTCAAGAATCATAGTAATAAGAGGTTTTTGTTTTGTTTTCGTTGTTGCTGACAATAAGCGCGTCACTATCAATAACATTTTTGTAAGAGTTGTCTCGTATCTTTAACAATAAATAATTCGTTACAACAAAAAGCAGAAAATTGTTATTCGTTACGAAGAAGTGATAACCAGCGCTAGAACATACGTTATATTACTCAACATAGCTTGTCCTGTAATCTTACCTCATATAACAAATATTATTAATACTTGTCTATTAGAAGGTGTTTTCCCTTCAATATGGAAACAACAGTCCATTGTGATACCAGTACCAAAGGTACCAAGTCTAAACGAATACTCATGCCTATGACCCTTAAGCATTTTGTGTTCCTTATCAAAAGTATTGGAAAAAGATAGTTAACAGACAATTGACGCAATTTCTGAAGGCTGAGCGCATTGTTCCAGTGAATCAGTCTGGTTTCAGGGAAGGACATAGCTGTGAAAGTGCTCTGACCAATATAGTGTATGATATTGTTACCGCAACTGACTCTAATAGATTGACTCTTCTGGGGATGTTGGATTTCTCCAGAGCTTTCGATACTCTAAACCAAGATTTGTTAATATCACCATATCGGGCTTGATTCTGTCTCATTAGCTCTTTTCAAAAATTACCTTAAAGGCAGGATTCAATCAGTCAGTATTGATCAGGTGAAGTCGAGTGCTTTGAAGATAAGGTCTGGAGTCCCATTCTTCGCCATAAATTTAAAATTTACACGATATTTCCAATAGTTTCGTTAATTTCTGTAACATCCACTATTATGCTGATGATACTCAGTTCTGTCATTTTCTGAAGGCCACTTTGATAAAAGCTTCAATAAGTTCAAGCGTGACTTGTATGGCATTATCGATGGTGCTTGGGAATATTGCTTAAAGATAAACGCTAATAAGACTCAAATCATTCTGTTTGGGCCCCTGAAGTTAAAAGAGAAATTTATTAATGGGTTTTATCACCTGTCGATAGGAGATACTCCTATTCCATTGAGTAAGTCTGTCAAAAACCTCGGACTGGTCATGGTTGAGGCGTTGAGCTTTAAGGGAACATATTAATCAGTTGATTGGTCGAGTTAGAGATAGCTCGTTAAAATTGATTTACTCTAATCGTTATAATCTCAACTGGCACACAAAAAAACTTTTATGCGGCTCTCTGGTATTGTCACACTTCAATTACTGTGAGATCTACAAGGCCTGCTTGTATTATAGGGTCATCACTGAAGGTACCCCTCCATACCTGCACGATAGGATTAAATTCAGAACGGACGTACATAATGTTAATGTTCGCTTCAGGGGTAGATTAACACCTCCTTTCCACCGGACAGAATTTTTCAAATGGTTTTTTTTCTTATCAGATATACACCATATACAATAATTTACCTTGGCACCTGATTGGACTGCCCCTGAACCGATTTAAAAGAGCATTGAAATGTTGGGTGATGGGTGGGTGCAATCTATCGCATACAATAAACAGCATAGTTTAAATAAATAGAATCTTGTGTAGTTAGTGATAATAATTTTAGTAAAATCTTGTCCAGTTTCGGCTCAAACTAAAGAGCCATCCTCAGAAGAATTCACGTCAATAAGACAAATATTTTTTTTTCTATATTATGCATAGCACAATTGTATAACACCTAGTAAATACATACTAATTAGTTACTTATTTTGAACACCAAATTAATGTAGATAATGTTTTGCAGTTTTTCCCAGTGGTCCAGTCTGCTTTACCCATAATTGACAAATATTGTCATATTTTTACCGTTTTAAGACCAAAACACAAAAAAACGCGGAACACACGTTTATTAGGGTATTATTGTTTTTGTTATAATTCTGCACTATTGCTCGCGTTGAATCGACTAGGACACTAGGTTACTAAATCGAACGGCTTCATCCTCTGAAGGCGACGCAGGACATCCTCGTTGTCGAGAAGCTGGATGGCCTCGATGTTGAAATGATCGTGCATTTTCTTCTCATGTTTAGATACGAATGATGCAATTTCTGATGATACCGATTCTACTTTCAAGTCGCGATGGAGGTCGGTGTTTGTTATATACCAGGGTGCATTCACTATACGCCTTAGTAGTTTGTTCTGGAATCTATAAATCAGACATGCATTTGTCTTGCATGTACAACACCACAGTTGGATTCCCTATGTCCATTTTAGTTTTAATACTTGCTTGTATATTAGCAACTTGTTACTTAGTGATAGTGTTGATTTTCTGCCAATAAGCCAATATAGGTGTCTAAGGGCCGGTTGTACCAATTCCCGATAAATTTATCCGATAGATAAATTGGCGCACTTAGGCCCACTTTTACCACCTCTTGATAAATTTAACCGATAGATAAATTGACGCTCTTAGCCAATGAGAGCGCTTAAAACCGCTGTAACCATGGTAATTACCTATCGGTTAAATTTATCAAGAGGTGGTAAAAGTGGGCCTTAGGTCCGTTACTACCATCTTTTAGTTAAATTTATCTTATAGATAAACCCATCTACTAGCCAATCAGAACGCGTGAAATAGCCGTAACCGTGGTAATAATCCTTTAGATAGCTTAACCAGAAGATGGTAGTAACGAGCCTTAGCCAATGAGAGCGCTTAAAACCCGTATCCATGGTAATTATCCGTTAGATAGTTTATCGGGAGTTGGTACAACCGGCCCTTAATTTGATATCCTCTCGTTTTTTTTTTTTGACGTGAGCTTTCCATATGAGTTTGGCATCCAGAGTCATACCAAGATATTTTTCTGTGTCGGCGTAAGGGATTGCATTGCCATTTATGTGTACTGGGACATAGTTTACTTTCTTATAAGCTCCAGTTTTCTATTGAATTTAAGGCCAATTGTAACTTATTTGCTGCAACTACTTCATTTTCTGCAACAGCCAAGATCGCTGTGTCATCTGCGACTGTAGCTGTTAAAGTTTCTGGTACCTGAGAAAGGTCGAATATGTAGAGTAAATACAGTGTTGGCCCAAACACACTTCCATGAGGAATTCTGGCTCGTATTTCATGTAGTGATGAATAAGCGTTTTCGTATTTTACTCTAAAATATCGATCAGAAAGATACGATTTTAATAGTTGACTATACGTTGATGGTAGTATTTGGTCTAGTTTGTAATTTAAACCATCTAACCAGACTTTGCCGAAAGCTTGTGCAATAATAATGGGCATATCTCATTGGGTAATAATGAGATATGAGCCTATATGATGTAATATCTGTGGGGGGCTTTACCAGCTTTTGGTATCATTATTATTTCAGCAACTTTTCATATGCTTGGGAAGTATTTCTGTTTAAAAGCAGCATTAATTATGTGTAATAGTTTTGTAATCGCATTGTATTTCCTCGTTTTCTTTTTATCGCGAGTTAAATGAAAAAAGTATCCGATTTTTTGTATCCGAACTTCTTTGTATCCGAACTTTGCGATTTTTTTTTCTCGAAAATTAGCGTACGAAAAAATTTGAATTTTTAACAGGTGGTAGCCTGTTCTTAATGAGTAGCATATTTTATTTTTTCGATATTCCATACCGTTTCGCGGAAAATCGTGGGTTAGTAAGTGTTTTGAGGTTGAGAAATTACGAGTTCGTTTGAGAATGAATTAAAGATAACTTACTATCAATGTATTATATTATGAAATTAAATGGTTTGGTTCCACACTGCACTAAACAATAATTAAATCAACTTAATAACTACAACAACGAGACTGACTGATTTTCTACGTGATTCATACGAATAATACAAAAAAAACTTGTTTTAATATTTTCGGCAAACGTAAGAAACAAAATAAATGAATTCAAAATACAAAATCTATGAACTTTAAACAGTAAGACACCGTTATGTCGAAAACGGCTGGGTGGATTTCCTCGAGGATTTGACCAAAATATGTCAAATAATGTGGGTTGTCGGATTCCGTTATTAGTTTTTCAAAATTAGAGCTACATGATTTTTTAAGAGCGATCTAATGGAATTACAAATTAAAGAGAAACAGAAATAAGCTCTGCGGGGTGACGGGGGTCCCGTCTAATTGGAACAGATGGTGCGTCCCAGACAGGACGTCGCGCCTTATTTCTTTATGTAGGTAAGATAAAGGCGCGACGTACTGTCTGGGACGCACCAACTGTTCCGATTGGACGGAATCCTTCTCTCCCCGCATAGCTTATTTCTGTTTTTCTTTAATTTGTAATTTCATTAAATCGCTCTTAAAAAATTAGGAAGCCCTAATTTTGAAAAACTGATAACGGAATCCGACAACCGACATTATTTGACATATTTTGATAAAAATCGCGTTGAAATCAGCCAGGTCGTTTTCGAGATAACCGCATCCTACTAAATCGCGATTTTCCGCGAAACTATATGGAATATCGAAAAAATAAAATATGCCCCACATTAAGAACACGTCGGTTTACCACCAGTTCAAATTTGAAATTTTTTCGTCTCTCAAGAATCGCGTACTTTTTTCACTTAACTCGCGATAAAAGAAAAACCGCGGACCCGAAAATTTCTAAATTAACATGTGATACGCAGAAATATTCACTGATTACAATAAACTTTACCGCAATTTTTTCCATAGAGTGGTTACGAAGATATCGATCTCTAAATTGAGGGACCTTGACTTTTTGCACAGATAGTAGTGCTGAGTAAATCTGGCCAGTACCAGTAGTTAGTTATTATTCAGCATTAGATTGTTTTGTATTCTTATTGAACTAAAAGTAGAATTAACTAATAAAGAAGGCAACGGTGTGGATAGCTTCGAATGTGTGTGCATAAAAATTATTCATTCAAACAGTTTAAAGTGCAAATTAATAATTTAACGGAGACTCGCTTCCCCATATTAATCCGTTATATCAAGGTTTTACTATATTAAAAAATTATATGTTATTAAAGTGATTTTGTATTTTTTTTATAGTGATAAATTGTTGTTGCCTCGTGTTTTGTCTTGTTTGCACGTGTTTTGCGAACACTGCCTCGACAAGAAGTTGATCGGCGAAAGTGGGGATGCGGGATCTGCAGAAACTGTCATCACCTGTCCAACTTGCAACCAAGATACAAAGGTAAATGAAATTATAACATAAAAATTAATACAAAATTGAAGGTAAAATTTGTTTTACCATTACCATTATATACTTCATTTAGTTCATTTTTATCTCGGTCTTTTATAACAGTTTCCTTTCTGTTATCTTAACCATTATCTTTTCATTTACTGAATCAAGGACGTAGTTTAAAATAAAAATTAATTTTTCTTATCAGAATCAACTGCTATATCCAGTGGTCTGAGTGGTCATATGGACCGTTTATTTTGAAAATGGTGTAAGTCCATTTTTGAAAAAAATGAGATATTACGTAATTCATGCTTAATTTAATGTAAATTTTTGTGTATAACTAGTCCGTGTTTAATTTCTTAAAAAATTTCCCTGTTTTGTACAATTTAAAATTGGTCGGTAAATGAAGTATCATAATCATCGATTATGAAAGTGGTGTAAGTCCAATTGACAGAGGTAAGTGGCTTAGGTGATGGTTGTTGATCAGTAGCCTGTTATTTTTTGCATTTGTTTTATATTACGTGTCAAGAGTTAGTAGTTTAGGTTACTTATTGTATTTTTTTCCTAAAATGGATAACTTCAGATTAACATCAGATAGTGATATAGGTAAGAACAAATGGTAAATCAATATTATTTTATGACAATTGAAAACATTTATTTTATTTAATTTTAAATAAATTCACTCAGAAATAAAGCCCATGAATATAAATAGAAGAATAATCTTACATTCAGAGGATGAAGGTAATTCCGCCATGAACAACAAATTAACGAATCTTAAAAAGAGAAGAAGAATAATAGAGGTAGAATCTTCATCAGATGAGGATATTGTTACTGAGAATTGATCGTATCCTAAAAGCGCATGAGAATATTCCGAAAGACAAGTGTGGAAAAATGGATGGCTCTTGCAGAAGAACTAGTGAGTTAGTGACAAATACGGTGATAGAACACATAAAAAGCTTTCCGGCATTTGAAAGTCACTATACTCGATCTCAAAATCCAGAACGGATGTTTTTAAATCCTGAATTAAACATAAGAAAAATGTATAAAACTTGTATGTACTTAAAAAAATGTATATACTCAGAAAAATGCAAGGAAAATAACTTGAGTTCAGTTAATGAATGGACATACAGGAAAATCTTTAAACGAGATTTGAAGGTACACTTCCATTAGCCACGTAAAGATACGTGTGCGAAATGCGATTTCTTAAACATGGAAATTAAGACAACAACTGATGACGAAGAAAAAGCAATTCTTGTACAAAGACATGATGTTCACTTGCAAGATGCTGAATTAGCAAGAAAAGCATTACAAGAAGATAAAATTGTGGCATCAAAAAATCCTGATAAATACTTTGCCATCTCTTTTGACTTACAAAAAGCCTTACCTTATCCGAAATTATCGGTCTCAATCGCATATTATAAGCGAAATATGTATGTTTTAAACGAGGGTTTTCACAGTTTCCACGACAATAAAGTTAATATGTATGTGTGGGATGAAACTATTGCTTCCAGGGGATCGCAAGAAGTAGCTTCTTGCTGTTTGAAGCACTTAGAAAATGTAACGACCCAATGCCATGTTATTGCCTACAGTGACATGTGTACTGGGCAAAATCGAAATTTACAAATGACATTGATATGGTTGAAGGTTGTCCAGTCGTTGGAAAATAACATTGACATAATTGAACACAAATTTTTACTCTCGGGGCATTCATACCTTCCGAACGATGCAGATTTTGGCATCATAGAAATGGCATTGCGAAAAAAGAATTTTATTTACACACCACAGGATTATTATGATGTAATAACACAATGTAGAAAACATGATAAATTCATTTTACATGAAATGAAACGAGAGAATTTCGTTTCAATACAAAATCTTAAAAATGCGATTAAAAAACAGATAAAAAAACACTAATGGAGAACAGGTAAATTGGTTGCAAATATGTTGGATAATGTTTCTCAAAACTGCTTCATATCATACACTATTTTATATAAAACATCAATGAAGGACAAAGAATTTAAAACTATAAATTTATTACCTACACGTCCTGGAAGACCGCTAAAATTTGAAAAAGTCGCCTTTGAAAATATAAAGACATCAAGCAGTTATATACCACCGGTGCATCATGCATATTTCGAAACACTGCCACATGCAGAGCATAAGTAAATACTATCAATATCTTGTATTTATTGTGTATTTTTAACAATGTAATTAGCGTCTAAAATTAAAAATACTACTTCTATTTTATGTCGTGTCATTATTTGTAAATAAAATTGGATCAATATGAAGTATATTTTAAATGATATTTGATTTTTCAAAATTGAAATTAACGATTTTTACAATTTTCTAATTTTGAAAGTGGTGTTAGTCCATTTGCAGCCCGTGGGTATACATCAGTTTAGTAAAATATGGCTAAGTAAGGGCCGGTTTATCAATATCTAGTTAAGACGATTTATCTGTTAATTAAAATTGTAGCTGATAGATAACGTCGACGAATCGTTTATCCACCCGTAGTTTAGGGTAATCTTATGGATAAATATGACATTTGGATACCCACCAGATTGAAGTACTGGTTAAGGGTTTACCTATTAGATATTGTCAAAAAAATGTGAGCACAAGTGTGGTTGCTTGGTGAAAGGAAATGACAATAAAATCAAAATATAACATCAAAAATAAATTAAGCTTATAATTGTGGCGATGGATAAGCAAGAGACAGCAGAAAAGAACTTGCTGATGGATTTGGCAAACGAATATAAAAATGTTATAGAAAATAAATAATAATCTATTAAACTAAGATTAGAACTAAAACTAGAACTAACACTAGAAACTTTCGGGTTTTGCCGTGCGTCTTTTAATAAAAGGTTTGACGTTTCGGATGCCATGTTGCAACCTTCTTCAGAAACTGGTTCGAAGTCTGACTTCGAAGTTAGTTCTAGTTTTAGTTCTAATCTTAGTTTAATTCACACCGGCCGTGAAAGCCTTCGTACTTATAAAATAATAATCTAGTAATTAAAAAAAAAATAATATAATCTATAATCTAATATAGTATAATCTCGTCTTAATTTTAACCAAGATTGATAAAACTGTGTCCTTTTTTAACCGAAATTTAACAAAAAAACGTGTAAAAAGTCGTGTTTGTCCAACTCTTCAAAGTGGTTTTGACTTTTGTCTTTCTTTTATAATATATGGTCGTCGTTTATAATTTAAGAATTGGACAATATCCTCATCTTTATCGCTGTGTAATAAATATTCATGTAGGAATTCCATTATAAAAGAGGTTTTCGAAAACAAAGCACAATACCGAAAGCACACGAGAATGATAACCTCCAAAACATGATCAGCTGTTTATATCAACTTCACAAACTAATCAATCAATTATTAATCAGTCAATTATTCAAATTTCATCAATTACGTTTCATTTCCGTTTCTAATGTTAACACTCAGGGGTACCATCTATGTTCTATCTCGTAGGTTGCTGCCTGTCGGGTAGAAAGTTACTGGATAAACGGTTCACTGCGGTTATCTGTTAGGCAAGTTTATCCATGAGTTGCGTATCTAACAGATTTAACACGACGTTGATAAACCGGCTCTAAAACAAATTTATTTAACCAAATTATATATTGATAAAACAGTAGAAATTTGCCTAAATTTTTTAATTAACAGACATGTTAAGCTTTAATTTTCTCGAAACAAGAGAAAATGGACTTACACCACTTTCAAAATAAACGGTCCATATAATAAAATAGACTTATAATTTTAATCTGATGATTTTTATAGAAAAAGTATATTTTTATAGTTTTAATCACGTCAAAATAAATGGCACATGAAATGGATGACGTCTCCCAGAGGTCAGTGTATGACAAGGGGATAAAGTGGTTTCGATTTAATACTTTGTATAAGATTGATATACGCTCCAAAACAAAACATTTTCCAGTTTTTAAATTTGTTAAATTATGAGGTATAAAAAATATAAATTAATCATTTTGTCTATAGGAGAAAATAAAGGTCAAATAAATATAGGATACACATAAGATTTTGTTGTTAATTTTTTAATAAACATAGTTCCATGACGTAAACGCACTACACCTCATAATTGTAATCTAAATTCCTATGTTATTGTGTGATTTGAAATTCTTTGGACAACAACCTCTATTGTTCTGTTACTTTTAATAAACAAATTTTTATTTTTTCTGTTTCGTATTGTTTCAAATGTTGATAAAATCATCACATGATTTATATAATGGGAATGCATTTAAATAAATTATGTTTTTGAATCATAAAAATTTACAACTATTTTATGGCCCCTCCAAGAAAAATCGGCAAAATCAACTCGCAAAGTTCTAAAATTATTAAGACTTATTTGAGAGTATTAATACGTCATTGCTGTTGATGACGTTTTATATGTATGCGCACACGTTGGCTTGTACCTTTACACTTAGTTTAGTTACTTCCATTATGTTTTGTCAAAAAAAGTTAAGTGCATTAGCTTCATATGTTGCTGCCTATTTGTGTAAGTTGCAATCATTTTTATGTATATTTGGAATGTTTATTCAACATTTTGTTAAGAGATGAAATAAAAGTTAAAGTGGCTCTTCAATTGATTCTAAATAGGGAGATAAGTATCTTTAATAATGAAATTTGATTCTTATCTTTGCTATTGTTTATATTTTGAGGTTAATTTTTTTTGTTGGTTACCAAAGCGCATTATTTTAATACTATATCCCTGATTTAACTTCATTTTTGTGGAACTATATTATAAGTGTGAGATAGATCTACTTCTGAACTCAGAATGCGATGGAAAATCGCTTAGTATATTAACAAGGAAGAAGAAGAACGTTTTATTCAAGTAATTCAGAAGAATACTTCGAAATGACAAAATTACCACACAGAGGCCCACTTTTACCACCTCTTGATAAATTTATCCGATAGATAATTACCATGGTTACAGCGGTTTTAAGCGCTCTCATTGGCTAAGGCTCGTTACTACCATCTTCTGGTTATGCTATCTAAGGGATTATTACCACAGTTACGGCTATTTTACGCGCTCTGATTGGCTAGTAGATGGGTTTATCTATAAGATAAATTTAACTAAAAGATGGTAGTAATGAACCTAAGAGCGCCAATTTATCTATCGGTTAAATTTATCAAGAGGTGGTAAAAGTGGGCCTTACCGCTTCTGATATTATATCAAAAGAATTTGAACTAGAGGGCAGATTACTTTTATGAATAATGTACTAATAATAGGATATTTAATGTATGATCTGTATTAGTTTTTAAAAAAACTTTAAAATTACTTTCTAAAAAGAAAGTTGAAAATAATCTTAAAATATAATAATCTTAATTACATTCTAATTTATGTTACAAAACAATTTGATGCAAAACAATATGTTGTCTTGTCGTATTTGCTAGTCTTGACATAATATCAAATCATAATGTCGATTCGTTTGTTGTCGCGATTTTAAAATATGCATAATGAAGTCCGAAATTTTTTATTTTTGTTTAGGTTGGAACAAAGAAATTAGCATCCTTACCATTGGACGTAATGACAACGAATATATCCGATGTTTCAAATTCGATAAATTTGCAATGCACAAGTTGCACGGCAAAAGAGGTGGCGATATCGCGATGCTGCACTTGCCACAACCTTTTATGCGGCAATTGTGAGACCGCTCATCGTTACATGCGCTGTTTCTCCTCACACAAGGTGATATCGTTAGAGGAGCTCCGCAAAGACGGTCAAAAAATCACAATCCACAAGCCATTGGTATGCGACATACACGCCGGCGAGAACGTTATCTACTATTGTAGCACGTGTAACGTGCCGGCTTGCACCGAATGCGCCAAACTTGACCATAAAGTCGCCGCTGGACATCAATGCGAATCGATTTCAGACTCTGAAATTCGCGTTCGTCAAGAGCTCGAGGGAATGGTAGCGGAAGTTAAGGTGAAGATTGATCAGACCACGAAGGTGTCTGGCGACTTGGAGAGTAGTTTAATCGAGTTGGCGAATCAACGATCGACAGCTAAAGATTTGATTAACGAATCGTACCAAAGTTACAAGGCGGTTTTGGAGAAGTGTCGTGATACCGCCCTCGACGAACTGAATACGTTGTACCGCGAAAGGGAATTGAAGGTGATGGATATGACGGAGAAGGTCGGCAAGGAAATTGGTATGTTGGAGGACGCTTGTAAATTTGCCTCGAGATTGTTGGATAACGGAACCGTTGCCGAAATTATGTACCTGCGTAAAACTGTGGGCACTCAATTGCTCAATTTAGTTAATAACACTTTGAAACCTGAAAAGAAATTTTGTATCGAATTTCAACCGGATTTCATCGAATTCGAATCTTGCGCCAAAACTTTATTTGGTAAATTCCAAACGGAATCGACATCGCCCTCCTCGACGCTCTCGAAACCCAAAGATAGTAGCCCCGTTACGGTAGGAACGACAACTTTGCCTCCTTTGAATATTAACGGGTGCGCCGGGGGATCTTCGCTGTCCAATAGTAGCCCGATTTCGCTACCCACTTCCATGCAGTCTTCGTTTGACGGCGATTTGGGCGCCAACTTGCAAGGGCTTACGATCGCCGCTCAGAGTCCTCCTGTCACCCAAATCAACGCGGCCCCTCTGCAAGGATTCTCGCGTATCGCCGAATACAATATCGCACAGCTAGCCACGCTTGCTGATGCAAACGCTGCGGCGGCTGCAGCTGCCAGTGCTGCAACTTCACCCACACAGTTTACCCTTGCTGATTTATTTAATACTGATACTGCTTATAAGAATTTGCATTCACTTGCCAAGTTGGGATTGAATAGTTCTGGTAAGTTTTATTTAACTTTACTTACTGGATTATTATTTTATTTTGTTTTTTTTTTAGAAAATACGTTGAGTAATGGCGGACAAATGTTACGTCCCAATTCTCCGGCAACATTAAATATTACCAATACTTTATTGAACGGTTTCAATCCCGTTTCATCTTCCACGTCACCGTTATTATCGACACCAGACGACATCTTACCTGATCCATTGACCTCTATTGTATCAAATCCGAATGGTGGGGCTAGTCAGGTAATTTATTATTTTTATTCCTCATTATATTGTTGAGACTAAAGGCCACTTTAGAGTTTTTTAAATTTTTTTGAATGCAAAATAATCTTACACGACGCTATTACTGCAATATCTAGCGTGATTGGCTTTACATTTAGCAACTTTTAACTGCAATATTTCAGTTGCAATCAATGCTGCCAACACATATTTTTTAAAAGACTGAGGCAGATGTACACAAACAAATCTATACATCTGCAAGTGCAAGGATACCAAAAAAAAAAAAGTGTCATTTGCGCATGCGTGCAAAATAAATTACCGCAATATTTCTTGTAAGCAATGAAACTTGCGAACTGTAAAGTGGGGCCTTTAGCTTAGAGGTGCACAGACTGATAACATTTTGAAAAAATTGCGATTTTGTTGTTTGCAGGTTATTCAGCGTACAAACAAAGTGAGCCCAATGCAAATTCGATGCAAGTTTGGTCAGTTAGGACCTAGCAAAGGCCAATTTAATTCGCCCCATGGTTTCTGCTTGGGCACTGAAGAGGATATCGTTGTTGCTGATACTAATAATCATCGTATTCAGGTCGAGTTTTTTTTTTGTTTGAAATATTTACTGTTAATGATTATAATCTATCTTATTATAACCTAGATGTGTGTAATGATATGACAAAATTTTATTGTGAATAGGTTATAGAGATAGAATTGATTATTGTTGGAATCGCCTTAATATTATTTATACTTTGATTGTTTGAATACGACAAATAATTAAAAAATTTAATACTGTAGATTTTTGAGAAAACTGGTACGTTCAAATTTCAATTTGGAATAGCTGGCAAGGACGAGGGACAACTCTGGTATCCGCGCAAGGTGGCAGTAATGCGATCGAGCGGCAAATATGTGGTTTGCGATCGTGGCAACGAACGTTCGCGCATGCAGATATTTACCAAGAACGGACATTTTTTGAAGAAGATTGCAATCCGTTACATCGACATTGTGGCCGGATTGGCTGTTACTACAATGGGTGAAATCGTGGCAGTTGACAGCGTTAGTCCGACTGTTTTTGTCATTAGCGAGAACGGCGAGCTGTTGAGATGGTTTGATTGCAGTGATTACATGAGGGAACCGTCTGATATTGCGATTCACGGTGAGTTAAAAGATGCTTATTACTATATAATTTTTTATTTTAATTTTTATACAAAATAATAATGTGTGTTTTTTAGGGAAAGAATTTTACGTTTGTGACTTTAAGGGTCATAATGTGGTTGTGTTCAGCGAAGACGGAACGTTTTTGCGTCGGATTGGTTGGGAGAACGTGACCAGTTATCCAAATGGGATCGATATATCAGATGCTGGGGACGTTCTTATAGGGGACTCGCACGGAAACAGGTTCCATGTGGCCGTTTTTTCTCGGGAAGGACCTCTCATTTCCGAATTTGAGTGCCCCTACGTGAAGGTAAGTTTTTTTTTTATATTTTATTTTGTAAAATGTCAAAGCTGGAATTCTTGAATGAATGTGTGGATGTTTTAAACAATTTTAAAAACAAATATATGTTACGGACATAGCAGGAAAGCAGAATAATTGATTGTAGCAATTTTTATTTGGTTATGTAAATAATGATCAAAACATTAATTTGAATTCATATTGAGATCATGAAACTTTAAAATAACATTTGTAAGTAGCATAATGCTTTTGCAACAAGAACATAAAGGCTTTGGTAAGGAAGTGATGAGTCATGAGTCTCATTTAAAGATAGACAAGAAATCAAAAACAATATACAAAATATGTGATTGACGCTTCCCAAATAATATTTATTTATAGTCTTTTATGTCAACAGGACTTCCTAATCGCCTCATCTTTTTGGGTTCTTTGAACTTGTACCATCTCTAATAACAGATTATGTACCTTTTTATAGATAACCTTTCGGGAGATAAATTCCACTTATTGAGAGACGTCTAATAAACATGGCAATATTACTACATTCAAACCATATGGTCTCTAGAAAACGAGAAACCTTCATCTGCGATCCTTAGGTTATTGATTCTTTAACAGAAATTTTGCGTTTTTATAATCTGTTTATTACTGAACTTAACTACTAAATGAGTATCTGCATGGTAGGGTTGAAGGATTTTCAAGAGTATTAATTAATCTATTATTCTATTTAATCTATTAATTAATATTTATATATGATGTTTCTGTGGGACTTAAGAGAATTTCTGGTTGGATCATTTTAAAGTATTAGGCATCCAGATCTTGATTGATCATATAAAATATAATGAATTGCAATAACAATAGACAACCTAAGCCTTGACGTCACAGAGATGGGCGGAGCTTATACTGACTCCAAACGTTTTCATTGCTAACTGTGTTGCTAACAGTAAATCACCATAATATATGCAATTTTCCATTAGGCCCAATACTACCACTCATAGTTAAAGTCTCTGATAGCGTTATCTATCGGATAGCTTAAAAACTGGTTACTACCACTGTATTTATCTTATAGATACCGCTATCCAAGGGATAACTTTTGAAATATCTGTAACCCATGGATTGGGTGTCGGATAAGTTGCTATCTAAGGGATAAATGCGGACACCTAACCTCAAATAGGATTTTTTTAATTCTATATCGTTAAAATACCTAATAGTAGGTCTTTTGACCACATAGAGCTGTCAATTGAATAATAGGCAAAAAAATCCCTAGATTTCTTGGTTATCTCAAGGATTTCTTAACTATGAGATAAATAGAGGTGGTAGTACGCACGACTCTGTTATCTACGAGATAACGGGCCTTAGGCTCGTTACTACCATCTTCTGGTTATGCTATCTAAGGGATTATTACCACAGTTACGGCTATTTTACGCTTTCTGATTGGCTAGTAGATGGGTTTATCTATAAGATAAATTTAACTAAAAGATGGTAGTAATGGACTTTAGTGTTAAAATAAAATAAACTAAGTGATGAGATGACATTTCAAATGACATTTTTTGGCGATTTATTTTAGCAACTGTGGTTAGCAACGAAATTGTTTGGAGTCAGTATAAGTTCCGCCCACCTCTGTGATGTCAGACTTAGGCAGTCTATTGTTTCCTACAGTTAGGGATTAATTGTTGCTTTTCAAAATTTAATTAATATAATCAATCTAGGAGGGATATCTTTCTGAGGAAAGTTAGAAAAGAAGAATTTTCTCTACATCTCTGTTATTTTTTATTATATTGACTACTTAATTATAGTTGTCATTTAATTTATTAATTTGAGTTAATAAATCTTTTTTAAATGACGTCTTACTCTACTATAGTTGTCCAATAACTTAGTTGATTTTAGATGGTTTCCGGGTAATAAAGGTCAGTCCACTCAACTTCTGGACTCTTCGATGTTATGCTTGTTTTTATTAACTTTTATAATGGGATAAAGTTAAGTCGAAACAAAAATTTAATGATTTTATTACTTTTGTTTATGTTAACAATATTTCGCCAATCTCCCGCATCCTAACGTTATAATATGGGTCTCTACAATTCTAATAGTCGAAACTGATCCATTAATTCTTACTTAAAAGGCACGTTCTTAAAGATAAGAGAGAAGGGTTGTACTTAAATACTCTGCCAATCCTAGATATAATAGTTTAAATTTCAACTCCAACACACAATCAAAAGCTTATAGCATGTTTTGAAACTCTGTATACACTTTACAACGTCTACAGTTAGCGGATTTCGGAGGATACGTCTAATTCTTCTAATATTGAGTATGATTTCACACATCTCACATACAATTGTTTGAAGTTATTAATGGCTTGTTGATAGTTTAAGGCATGTTCTAAGACTTTTTTGTTCCGATACTGGATTTTTTAGAAGGAGTATTTATGAAATTTTGTTGTTTCAATTCTTTGGAGGTAGTAGCGAAAACTTCATAACGATTTTTGCTTAATATAGATAGAATATGGATTCCATGAATACTTTTTATTCGAATCCTCACCAGGTCGGTGATAAATGATGTGAAATTTATTTGTTGTTAGATTGTGTGTGTGTGAAGGCACTAGAATTTGTCGTTGATTGTTAACGAAAACGTGTGTAACGAAACGTAATCACGAAAATTAATGTTTTTGACGTGTTTTTATTTACCATGAAATCCGGTTATATAGTAGAAACCACGAGAGCTGGCAGTGGCTTGACGTTTAAAAATGGTATGAATCAAGATATGGACGTACGACTTAGATTATTTCACCACATACATTTAAATGTATGTTAAGTTAGTAATAGAGGTTATATGTCAAACATTGTCAAATTTAGGAGAGGTTAAACAACGAAAAATCGTTTATATTAATTTATAATAAAATGTATGTAATTGTTAATTTATTTAACAAATACAGGTTATTTACAGGTCGTAAGACATTAAGTAAGTTTTATTTAAACAGTGGTTCATAATTTATTCATTAATTATTAATTTATTTCATTTTCGGCTTGTGAAAACACTAACAGATTCATGACAACGCTCACAAGACGTTTCGATTATTATTCGAGGTTATAATTATAGAGTTAGAACAGTTACATCCCTTAGAAGAACAGATGTACTTTTTCGACGTGGCTATTTGAATCGTACAGCAGACATATTAAACTAATGCTATCTCTTTCTAACACACATTACTGTCTGTGTACAGAAAACGATGATTTTTACTGCCAGCTCTCGTGGCGTCTAGTATATCACGTCCGACCTTGTTGAAAATTCAGACTCGACTTAACTTTGTAATTGGCAGATTTTATAAGCGTTAGTTTTAAGAGAAATTTGGTAGTTTCGGTCATAATTTAGCTGCCAAATTAAAAGCAAATAAAATTTTCATTTGTTAAATTGGGAAGTTTTTACAAATTATTGGTTTAATTGTTGTTTGTGAGATGTTATTGGTCTGTGTTATTTGCTTTACACCATCGGTACACTATAATCAAAGGAAACGCTAGTAGAGATTTATTTGGTGTAGAGTCCTCCATAAACAGTTTGTAACTGACTGGTTCCTTAGGAAATGTCATGATGTAATGGTTCTTGATGATGGTGTAAAAATGATGGGATTTTCGAGTTAGAATAAACGCATAATAGCTTCTCTTAATTAATGCATTTATTGACTACACTTAAGTTACGCGACGTGTCACCTTTCAGCAGTGGAAGCGTACTCTCTTTCCCGAGCGATGACCGCCGCTAGACAATACTTAACGTGCGTCATTTAGTGCTTACTATTAACTATCTTAACCTACTTAACAATTTGTTATTATTACACTACAATGGCTTTTGTTTTATTTATAGATATTATCATATTAAGCTATGATAACTGCATCATTGGCGTAACACGTCATACTGATCCTTTTGCTACTCATTCTGTANTCTCTATAATTCGAGTAGTCAAAACTGATCCATTAATTCTTACTTAAAAGGCACGTTCTTGAAGATAAGAGAGAAGGGTTGTACTTAAATACTCTGCCAATCCTAGATATAATAGTTTAAATTTCAACTCCAACACACAATCAAAAGCTTATAGCATGTTTTGAAACTCTGTATACAGTTTACAACGTCTATAGTTAGCGGATTTCGGAGGATACGTCTAATTCTTCTAATATTGAGTATGATTTCACACATCTCACATACAATTGTTTGAAGTTATTAATGGCTTGTTGATAGTTTAAGGCATGTTCTAAGACTTTTTTGTTCCGATACTGGATTTTTTAGAAGGAGTATTTATGAAATTTTGTTGTTTCAATTCTTTGGAGCGAAAACTTCATAACGATTTTTGCTTAATATAGATAGAATATGGATTCCATGAATACTTTTTATTCGAATCCTCACCAGGTCGGTGATAAATGATGTGAAATTTATTTGTTGTTAGATTGTGTGTGTGTGAAGGCACTAGAATTTGTCGTTGATTGTTAACGAAAACGTGTGTAACGAAACGTAATCACGAAAATTAACGTTTTTGACGTGTTTTTATTTACCATGAAAACTGGTTATAAATATAGTAGAAACCATGAGAGCTGGCAGTGGCTTGACGTTTAAAAATGGTATGAATCAAGATATGGACGTACGACTTAGATTATTTCACCACATACATTTAAATGTATGTTAAGTTAGTAATAGAGGTTATATGTCAAACATTGTCAAATTTAGGAGAGGTTAAACAACGAAAAATCGTTTATATTAATTTATAATAAAATGTATGTAATTATTAATTTATTTAACAAATACTTTAAAAGGTTATTTACAGGTCGTAAGATATTAAGTAAGTTTTATTTAAACAGTGGTTCATAATTTATTCATTAATTATTAATTTATTTCATTTTCGGCTTGTGAAAACACTAACAGATTCATGACAACGCTCACAAGACGTTTCGATTATTATTCGAGGTTATAATTATAGAGTTAGAACAGTTACATCCCTTAGAAGAACAGATGTACTTTTTCGACGTGGCTATTTGAATCGTACAGCAGACATATTAAACTAATGCTATCTCTTTCTAACACACATTACTGTCTGTGTACAGAAAACGATGATTTTTACTGCCAGCTCTCGTGGCGTCTAGTATATCACGTCCGACCTTGTTGAAAATTCAGACTCGACTTAACTTTGTAATTGGCAGATTTTATAAGCGTTAGTTTTAAGAGAAATTTGGTAGTTTCGGTCATAATTTAGCTGTCAAATCAAAAGCAAACAAATTTTCATTTGGGAAGTTTTTACAAATTATTGGTTTAATTGTTGTTGGTGAGATGTTATTGGTCTGTGTTATTTGCTTTACACCATCGGTACACTATAATCAAAGGAAACGCTAGTAGAGATTTATTTGGTGTAGAGTCCTCCATAAACAGTTTGTAACTGACTGGTTCCTTAGGAAATGTCATGGCTTTTGTTTTATTTATAGATATTATCATATTAAGCTATGATAACTGCATCATTGGCGTAACACGTCATACTGATCCTTTTGCTACTCATTCTGTATCCCAGATTCAACAATGCCACCTGTTGTATAATCTCATCCATCAGAAAGTTGAACAGGAAGGCTTTAAGCTATCTCCTTATCTGATTTCTCCTGGTATTTCTTTATTTGAGGTTGTGTATTCACTAGCTTTGATGCTTGTTACGTTGCGGTATTAAGACTGTGGATTAATTTTATGACGCGATATGGTATTTGTTTCTCTATTAATATGCGTAGAATCTTGGCGCACCTTATTAAATGCCTTTGTCATGTCTATGAAGCAAAGCTAGGCGAGATTTCTCTTTTAGTTGCATGAAGATAAATATGGCGTCTGAGGTTGATCAGTTTTTTCGAAAACTCAGTTGTTCTTCTATGTTCTCAATAGGCGCTTCTAGTTTCTATTTTAGAATGCTGGTAAGTAACTGCATACATGTGCTTAGCAGAGCTGGGGGGCCTACAATTCGGGCAAGCCTTTTGTCCTTTCTTTAAAATGGGGATTGTGATACTACTTTGCCACTCCGTGATATTATATGTTACTCTTCTGTTGGTGAGCTTTTATGGGATATGTCGTTTTTTCTTTTTATTTCTTCAAGTTCTCTTATTACTTCTCAAGATCATGGTTGTTTAATGTGGTTGGTGGCTTTTATATTAATTTTCCGTTTCCCTATAGACTTTTCTGCAGTTTTTTGTATAGTGGTTTTTATTTCATGCCAACACTTCTCGACTTACGTTCGTCCATAGGGATACAATATTCTTTTTCCGCGCATATCAGCTTGTACTTGGTCTTGATTGGCCGTTCCATTAGTATGTTGTATAAAACCATGTTGTTATCAGTACTTAAGTTAGCTAATGTTAAGCCTTCATATTTAATAATGGCTCTGTTTGTTATTATGAATTCAATCATGTATCGTTGTCTTCTGCTGTTGCAGAAAATATACTTGTGCTGTATTTTATGCGGAAAGTATGTATTATTGATTCTTAGCTCATTCCCGGCACAGATATCAATCAGAAGCTCGTCATTGTTGTTGATAGTGAGTTTGTTGTACTTCTCTTAAATTGAGGATTATTTCATTTCCTATTCGAGTAATTAGATTTCTGAAAATTGTAATTTTATGGCTGCTATTAACTATTACGCTTGTCAATGGTATTTTGTAGTTCAAAGTAAAAGTTCTCTGATTCTTTAGCGTTCTTGGATATGTTATGTTTGGGGCATATGTATTTATGATTTGTGTTGTGATAGACAATTTAAGCTGTTTCTCAACTGGGTGGTTTATTATGGTATAATTCAGTACAAAGAATTTTCAAAGTTGATCGTGAATGTTTTTGTACATAGGGTTGATTTAAGGGAGTCAACATCTCGCCTGAAGAAAGCTCTTTGTTTTTGCTTTTTTTTGGATATTTTTTGGGGAACAAAATAAACATACAACAGCAAACTTTTCAACACATATTCATTCATATTTTGAGCATATTTTTGCACTCATTTTCAAAAATGGTGATTTGTGGTGACCACGATTTGCAGGCGTTCTGATTATCAGAAATAAAAAAAAACAAAACAAATCGTATTGACTAACTTCAAACGACTACTTCACCATTTAATTTGTTAACGTTTTACTGTTTTTCTTTTATTTCAACTAAAATTATTGGAACATACAATTACAAAGCATAAAGTTCCTGTGAAAAACTTTGATTCACCACAATAAAAATATAATTGTTGATACAGCATCATGTGTCTTGAATATTTTATATCAAACTTGAATAAATGGACTTATTATTTTATTTAACATTGCATACATTTTCTGCTATGTCCGTAATAAATATTTTCAATGTAATATGTAACTAAATCAAATGTATTTTCGAAAAAAAAATGTATAGGTATCTCGTTGCTGCGGATTAAAGATAACGTCGGAAGGATACGTCGTGACGTTAGCCAAAAACAACCATCACGTGCTGGTGCTCAACACCCTCTACATTCTTTAGATAGATACGTATCAGCAGTCCCAGCTTCCCCTTCGCCCTCACCCTCACCCCTCCTTCCATGCAAGTAAAAAGTAGTATATGATCTCGCACTCTATATACAAAAAGAACTGATTTATTTTTAGTACATATACATTTTTTTATTATTATTTATAATACGTATTTTACTATTTTGCGCGCGTATCAGCACGTAGAGTCGATCGTTAATTTTTTTTAATGTTGATTTTTTTTTCTATGTTAGTTGTTTTGATGTTTTTTTTTTCACTGAATAATTTAAGTTAGCAGCAGAAATGGTTCCTATACTTTAAAGAAAATTAATAATTTATTTACTGATTTCTTTTTTGTTTTCAATTTTTCTGACACCAAAAATTTATTATTGACGTTTTTATTAATGTTAAATTTAAATCATTGTTTGAATTCTTAATGAAAACCGTTTTGACGTGATAGCAAACACGACGCAACGCATTTATTATCATTGAAGCTATAAGGCATATTTTCACATATTGGAGGTTTATTTACACATGTGGTCGGGTCGTTTTTGCTATTCGATCAAAGAAACGTTTTTGAAAGAATCCAAAGATAATATTTAGGTAATTTTATAATTCTCGTTAATTTATTATTTATATTTTTGGTTTTTCTGGTGTCAATTTTTATTATTTTTTTTATATTTTGAAACAAAAAAATCCTGTACACGTGCCAACTTTCGAATCTCCGATAATTTTTTGAGCACAAATTTCTGAGATTAATTATATTTAATGTTTGTTGTTTTTTCTACTACTATATTATTATTTTATTTTGATTATTTTTTTATTATTTAGATAATAGTTGTTTTTGTGCGTCTGCGTGTGAGAGGGGAGTGTTTGTGTTTTTACTTACGTACTCAGGTTGGTTAGCGTTTCCTCGCGGGGGCCGCGGTTTTTTTGGGCCCTCTAGCGATCAGTGCCATCTAGGTTCTAAGTCCTACGGTTGCAGCCTACTGATGAGAGAGTTGTTGATGATTTGCTCTCGTTTTAAAAAGTCGATTTTTGATCAATTTGATCGATTTTTTTAAATTCAATATTAAAATAACAGAAATATACGTGGTTGCTTCTCTAAATTCCAGTTGAGTGTGAATGTTTAAAACAAAAGAAAGAAAATGCGAAACTCTCCGCGTAATAAAAAGCGCGGAAAACCAATGCCTGTGATAATAGTATCTTCAGGATAAGTTGTGACCTTAGTCTCTCATTGTTGTTTAACGTGCAATAACTAGTTACAGGCTTTTCTGCAACTCGGTTACTTGCACAGAGTTTATAAAATTATATGTATATAACGAAAAAATAAAAAAAAACGAGTTTTAAGCAAAAAAAAATTAAAAAAAAATAAAATCTCGAAATTTAAAAGCCAGATTGTTTATGTATAAAAATAAAAATAATCGTATCTTATACACTCTATTATCGTTCTTGAAGGATTGTTCTTCGAAAAATTAATGTGATGTCAATATAATCTCACGATTAATAATAAAAAAATATCTGATGATGAAAACCTAAAAACAAAAAGGTTATTTTTTAGTTTCTACTATTTATTTACCAAATATAAATATAAAAAAATATTATTTACACCGGTAAAAATATCACATAGTAATATATATATTATATATACATAAATATACATACATAATTAGTATATGCTATAGTTGTAAAAATTTCATTATAGCATTTTTGCTCACGTTACTATTAACAAAAATTTTTACAAGCTCTTTTTTGCCACTTGTGTACGTCTCATACGAAAAATAATAAATAATAAATATCGCGGACAAATACTATTTTATTAAAAATAAGAGGAAACGGATTTTTTGACAAATTTTATTTGGTGTTAATACAAAATACTCTAATAATTCTAAAAAATTTCAACAAATGTGTACAGAGTGGATCGTTCACCTGTACAATATATTAGGAACTAGTAATATATTATATACATAGTATGTAAAGATAATTAAATGAATATTTGTGTGTTTTTCTTTAAATAAATAAATGTTTATCAGATAATCTCATAACAACCTTCTAAAATTAAGGAGATATAACGAAAAATATCAAAAATTGAATAAATAATACAAGAAATAAATAAATTTGTCGAAGAATCTGAGCAAAATTAATGTAGGAAGTGATTCATTTGAACTTTATTCTTTAATTGTAAATAAAATAGTACGTGGTTGTGGACAAGTTCTTTGATGATTAAAAATATCATGTTTTGCTTTTATTCAAGATATTTATTGAATGATATATTTGATGCTCAAAGAAAACGCATTTTTGAAGATGCGTAGTTGAGTAGAATTCGCAAATTTCTTACGTATAAACTTGCTTGCTTTTTTTATTTTAATACCCTCTGGGCGGTTTCGACCTCGTAAAAGGTCATCATCAGCTGAATGGTCATAAACTAATCAAAATTGGAATTAATAATAAATAAAATAAAAGTTTTCAGAGAACTCAATAACATGTCTATTTATTATTGTTATTGTAGTCTAAACGGCTATAGGTTTTAATATATTTGCATTTCTGATAGACTTTAATTTGTAATAATATGAGCATCCCTTGTCAAGTCATTCTATTGCAAGAAGAGCAATATTTTGAAGCTTTGTATTGAATTCAGTGCCGCAATAATTACTTTTTTCTCGTACAAATATTTGCATAACAATATACTTCATCAGTATCATCATTAAATTACCTGATTTTTCTATAAAATTTTTTATTTTTGTTATTGAGTGCAAATTATGGAACCTAAAATGTAGTAGGTTCACAGTCTACAAAGACGAAAAGCTTTATAACGAAGCGATATCATTTTGATGGTATATACTGGCGAAATGAGTGATTGAAATGGATAAACCCTCTGTTTGAACGCATTTTTGAAGTGATCCACAAAAACTTCTTTTGTATAGCTAATCTGAATTGATCTTACATTTTAAATTTGCGCTGTTAAAATGATGAACAATAGGAGTAAAATTGTTACTTGTTGGTTTTCGGGCATTTATTAATGTTTTGACCTCGTTATCAGACTATTTTCACTATCACCGTTCCTCAAAAATATATATTATCTATTTGTCTATATATACGGTTAAAGGGGGGTTAAGAACAGCATTATGATGTTAATTATAATTTGTTTATTATTAATTCCAATTTTGCTTAATTTATGACCATTCGGCTGATGATGATCGTTTAAGAGGTTAAAACCGGTCCCGAGGATATTTAAATTAAAAAAAACAAGACGTTTATACAAAGATTGCTTTGTGTTATGATTTATGATTTAATTTCGGAATAATTACATCTTATCTACTTAATAAATTTTCATTTTACTTAAATGAATCACTTCCTTAAGTATGCAGTTAGTTTAAATAAATAGGTCGGTTCGATGGTACGCATACAATTGGAGCATACAGTCTAAACTACTGATACAACTACATACAATTAAAATTAACTACTATAATTAGTATCAAAAGAAAAAAATCTTTTAATTTTAAATTTAATATATTGTCAATGTGATAGATTTTTTGATGATTTTACAATCACAATATTAGTGTGTGTACAAAGAAGTCATTTTTAGATACTCGTATACCAGTACTTTTGCCATATTTATATAAATTATATATAACGACGCGCGACTAAAGAAAGGAAAACATAAAAAAAAATAAATAAAAGAAAATGCGTTTGAAAAAGGAAGAAATGTGTTTTAAAAAGTTCATTCAGTAGCAATAAGTATTCTCAGACAGTATTGGAGTGAGGAATTGTTATCATTCCATTTTTAGCGTAGTCTACTATATTTACATAATATTATTATATATATTTTTGTTTTTTTCTTTATTGTATTATTTTCATACCGATTATTAACTTTTCACGACGCCTTTAGACATGTAAGGTAACCTCTAGTATTAAGTTTTTGTGTGTTACGATGTGAAACGTTGTTACTTAATGAAAAGTGAAAAAAAAAGATAAGATTAAATTATTAAAAAAATGATATAATAGATAAAAAGATAGGGTTATAAACGCTATCCAAAGACGTACAGAGATAGGCTCCAAAAGTTAAAAAAACAATCAGTAAATAAAATCACAAAAGCATTAATTACTAAACTAGATGAAGAAAATTTAATGCGCGCTGACAAAAAAATATAGATAAAAACGGTTGTGAGCTACCTATTATTATATACACTTTTCTTTTCGATTAAAAATTTTCTATATACACCTAATATTTAAACGAACCCTCCTTGATATTCCAATTAAATTACAATATTACAACGTTATTCTAGCTATATCAAGGGGATAAACTTCGTCACTGCGAACGATTTTTCTCGTATCTCGATATAATACATATACAGTTGTGCAATAATATTTTTAAAAAATGGTTTTAATTCAAACTGGCAAATTTAATAGAAACCGCTTAAACTGTGGGTCTTGATAGGTACATTCCGAAAAATATATAGGGTGATTAAACAAATTGCAAAACATCGAATTAAAGTTTAAATCTTATCAAAAATAGATACATTATAAAATTACATTAAAGTAGTAGGGATTGGAGATACTCAATTTATTAATTAATAATTTAAAACGATCAACTTTTTAACCATCACGATTTGTAACGATTATTATTATAATATGGCAGAGAGAAAGGAAATTTTAGGTTGGGGTAATGGTGGAGTTGAAATTATTGATTTTCAAAACACCAATTCCTACTATTTAATATCTTATTTTAAATACATTTTCTATTCGGGAAAACATTTCGTTTACTTAAAGTTTTGTTAAAGTGCTTTATCACGTCATTTGATACGATTTATGTCTGATACTTGCCTGCATTGGTATAAAACTTAAATCATTACGTCAAGACTCTTTGAAAGAGATGTCATCTTCTGTTATGTGTAATAAGTTATTACTAATAACGTTAGGTTACGATATTTTCGGGCTGTAATGTTACAATTTCTAAATCGTTCTCGTTAATAATGTGTTAATACTGTCGATTTAGCCATATAGTAAGCGTACTAAAAGATCCATTCTCTGGATATATTCATATCAGTTATCTGTACAATGGTAATAGCTAAGAGAGAAAGGAGAAGAAGAAATTATGGAACAACTCCTGATCCTTGGTTGTATAGACCAAACCAAGTAATTTTATATACAGGGTGTATCAGGTATGAGTAGAAAAAAATTGAGGGGTTATAGGTTCCATTTTTGTGAATAACAAAATCTTAAGATTCTTAAGATATGATACGATAAAGTTAAGGGTTTGAAAGTTTAAGTACTGCTGTATAAAGTATTATACTAAGCAGGCTTTGCTTATGTATATAGCTTTAATTTGACACATAAAAGTCATTTTGAGATATTTTTTAAAGCCGACGTTACACGTCGTAATTGACTTACAAAAATTTTGATTTTAATAAATAAACTTGCTTATTGTATTAAAAACAACAAAATTACAAAACTAGAAACAAATTGCAAAGCAAAGCCTGCTTAGTATAATTCATTAACCAGTAGTACTCAAACTTGTGAACCCTTAACTTTATGGTATCATATTTTAAGAAGGAGAAAGCATAGGACATTGTGTTTTAAGAATTTTTCTATACAGAAAGAGGAGGAGACCTATAACCCCTCACATTTTTTCTATTCATATCTGATACACCCTGTATAACTTGTATCCATAAATTATTTTATGGGAGAGTAAAGTTTCACTAAATTCCTTAATTCACTGGATTTCATCTTTTCCCGCTATTGATGGTATTCTCTGTCTGGTTGTAGATAACACTTAATATAGAATCACTGTTGTTGTGCCCCGCAATTTTCAATAGTTGCTTCAACACCTGCTTTCGCAAGAACTGACACAGCACAAGATCTGATGGAATGATTTAACATTTTTCGGTTCTTTGTATCGCTTCATATTTTACTCATTTGCCAATTTCATGGATTCCCACCGGACAGTTCTTGTGCCAATGACCGAATTTACTTGCATTTCAATATGGATTAGGGCTTTTCCTTTAGTTAAGGTTTTTGTATGTTTTGGCATGTATCAACATTTCTTTGATTAACAATAAGCTATTTGCTATCGTTTTGAATTGGCCACTACTTTTTAAAATACAATATAACTTAACAGGAGATGTAGATTTTTGAAGTTTATAGCTTTCTAAAAGTTGTGTAAATTCCCGCTAAATTGAATCACGCATTTTTTTTTGTATTTCAGGTATTATTTTTGTGATCACAATGTGTTGTTTCAGGTATTATGGAGAAAGATAAAGGGGAAGACTTTATCTTTCTCCCCAAATCTTTTCAACTCTCATCGTAATTTAACGGCGCCTTTGGATTCATAGCCTAATTCGTAACATAAATAAATATTATGAAAAAATTGAAAGAAAACTACATACGTAGAGGGAATTTATAGTATACAGTGATATGGATAATGTTTGTCATAGTACAGCCTTTTTTATCAATTTTCTCCATAAATCTTTTCGAAACCCAGTTACTTCACCTAGTTCAGCAATAATGTTTGGACTCAAGATTCATTGAAATAAAATCAAAAATCTTATGCAAAGAAAACATTTATTTGAAAAATTGCTTCTATTGTATATCGAACCTCGAAATTGTGCTTCTCACAACCGATGTTGAGCCTGAAGACTAAGTTTGGCTTCAGAAACATGTCATACTGAAATAAAATTAATGCATTCATTGTTTCTGGACGATTAATGGATTCTCTATGCTGGTAAAGTTTTATCATCCAATTAGTCCAGTTTCTCCATCATCGGTATTTTATTTATATTCAAAGTTACTTGATTTTAATGGAAGCTTTTTTTTATTCGTTGATTGCTTTTACATGTGTTAGCCCTTTAAGATTTATCGCCTGCCATGAAAGTTTTGCGTTATTTTGCACGGACTGAGAAACTGGAAGAGTTGTATAAGTCATTACGTACAAGATTGGATTGGGTTCCTTTTTGGTTTAGGTATGATGATCACAATAAAGAATATATCAGTGAAGTTTTCAAAGGTTCATAAACGGTTTAAATTAATCAAATAAAACACCTTTCCAAGTTCGTTTCTTCGATTTGTAGAATGGCGGATATGCTAATCTACAATGACTTCTTAACTTTTATCGTTTTTAACCAAATTATACAGGGTGTGTCAAATGGCTAGAATATAGTCAATAACTTCGCCATTTGTGGTTTCAAAGAAAAATGTTTCAAATAAAAAATTCTTTATTAATCGTGGCACATTTTTTGGCGATATTTGTTTGTATTGTATTTTGTTTCGTTCCTATGGCAACCAACATTGTTTTTTTGTCAACTGTCATTGTTTTGATATTTAAAGCTCCTCAATGGCGTTATTTCGGCGCCTACTTTGATTATAATTTGTTGATTTAATATTTTCAGAAAGCAGATTTTTTCTCGATTTTTTCTTATACAACCATATGATTTAAAATGTTCATCGCGTAGACGAATTTATCCTCTATCAAAATATGCAAAAAACACAGATGCATCCCATTTAAGATAACAATGTTGGTTGCCATAGCAACGAAACAAAGAACAATATAAACAAGGAAATATCGCCAGAAAATGCGCCACAATTAATAAAGAATTTTTTATTTGAAACATTTTCCTTTAAAACTACAAAAGGTGAAGTTATTGGCTATATTCCAGACATTTCACACACCCTGTATATATATTCCTTGATTTATCATTCCAAAAAGAACCTGTTGAACGAAGTGGTGGATACTTCGTTTTCTGTACCCCTAAGCTATCTATTTTGCGTAATTATATTGCATACTACAGTGGCTTTATCTTTCTTGGTATGTAGCATTTCGAGGAAACCAATTATCGCAAATAAAGTTTTAACCACTTCCATGAATTGGAGAGTTGATAATTTACGCACATAATAAGTAGAAACACTTTCTTTTCTACTCTTGTAGGATCTATTCCAAATATGGAATTGCACTATATGTACCATGTTTAGAATCTAATATTTTGATTTACTTTTTAAATAATCTCTACCATTAAAATTTCAAACCACAGTGTTCGTCAATATCATATTTTTTAATTCGTATACAGCGAAGGACAAAAGTCTATATATAGCGTGATTTTTAATTAAAAATAAATGACTAAATCAACACAACGGTAGTCAAAATTTTCAGTATTTCACTGGTTACGTGGTCTTGAAGCAATTCAGTTTGCTGTCTCTTCTGCTGTTATTTTATTCCATGGTTTCATTAACGGAGATTTCAACGTTTTAGCATCCTTTATTTTAGACTCTATTGCTTCCTATGTTCTAAAAGCTAATGAACATGTTCATTTAAATCCGGGCTCTGAGGAGGAGATGTAGGGGAAAGGTTGGAAGCATTTAGGTTTCTGCTCATAACACTGTTGTAAAAGAAAAAATATATCTTATTTTAACTCAACCTTATAAATAGTTGAAGCTACCCCGCATATGGGTAGCCATCATATTAACCATGCACTGGAGTAGATTAAACCCATAGCAAAATATATACATATTTATAAAGAATATCTAAAATTATGTATTTATTCAAGTATTGCTAACGAACATCCCAACCCCGAAAATTGTACTTGCAACTGAAAATTGATGATGTTCTTGCTGTTGGCATTGGTAAAACGGCAACAATGTCTTTTCTTTGGACATTCGCAATGACATCAACCTTGGGAAAAACAAATGAACTGACAATTCTTAATTATTTCGCCGCCTTAAAAATTTTATCTCATAGTAATTTAAATTTTTGGAAATTACTTTCCCAACGTAATAACAAAAGCGGCTCTTGAAGAAAATTTAACCAACACAGAATCTTCGTCTTTTATTACATAGTCAGTATCATTTAGAAGTGGAAAATGGTCAAGTGATTCATCATCGTCAGAATCAATTAAATGTACTGAAACGTCAGATTTACTTAATAACAGGTTTCTGAAAAAATATATTTCTTTTGGTGGACTTATTATTAGTACCTTTTACAGTTTATTATTATATTAAATTGTATAGACAATTTTCTATTCCTCTCCAGTTCTAAGTATTCCTTTGCTGTCAGTTCCGAGGTTGATGTAAGAAAAGGTCTAACTTCTTGAATACAAATTTTGTTTCGGATTGTAATATCTTTTTCTATAGCCAAGTTATTGGCGGATGTGCTAAAAGCACCTCATCATTGCTCATCAATTTCGCAGACCCAACCTATTCAACTTGTTTCTTTCCTTTACTAGTTACAAT